TGCAATCTGCTTTGGTAACCTACAGTAAGCAAACTTTAAAAGCCTTAAGCAATATCAGCAATATGTCTCCACTAAGTATGAAACCTGGAGAAGAAATCCAGGCTGATTCGCTGGTTTTCACTGTCTTAAGTTCACATCATGCCCTGCCCTACTTCTGTGCCTTACCTCCTGTTGTTCCCCCTCCTCTGCAATGTCGCCACCATCCTCCCAGCCTACCAAATAAAATTCTATTCATCCTTCAAAACCAGTTCAGTGTGTTAGAATATATGCATCAGATTTCTTCTAATACTAGACAGAAATCAAATATTAACTTGGGCAGGTTACTCTCTACACCTCAGTTTTCTCAACTATAAAACAGGGATAATGTCCACCCCTTATATAGTTTTTGTTAGGATTAGAAATACAGTCATGTGTTGTTTGATGACGGGGATACATTCTGAGAAATGTGTCCTTAGGCGATTTCATTGTTGTGGGAACATCACAGAGTGGACTTACACAAACCTAGATGGTATAGCCTACTACATACCCAGGCTATATGGTACTAATCTTATGGGACCACCGTTGTATTATGGTCTGTCGTTGACTAAAACGTTGTTATGCGGTGTTTCACTGTAGTATCTACTTCTATCAAGAGTCTAGCATAGTGGCTGGCACATTGATCCCGATTAATGGGTTCAGGATTTACACTTTTGCATAATTGCCATTTGCCCTTATAATCTGCATGGAGAAAAGACAGTCAACCTACTATGCTATGAGAAGGTGACCTCTAAGGTCCTTTTGCACTTTCTCTCTGTGAGATTAAGAAGGCCCTTAAGACGACCAGCTTTTTCCAATTTCCTATTTCTCATCAGCGCTATTATAAGACCCAAATCCTCTATCTTGAGAATTGGCTGGGTTGGACACTGACAGAATAAAGGAGTGAGTAGGGAACTGAGGAAGGGGTGAGAGTGACTGACCAAGTTAGGTAGGGAAGGAAGTGAGGCCAGGAAGGGGACCGACATCCACGGCCTGGGTGTCCTAGTTTGGCCAAAGAGCAGGGTCAGTTGGAATAAGAGAGTGGAACAAGTAGAAGGCTCTAGTCAGAGAGGAGGTAGGTGTTCCAAATGCACGTTTCAGGGATGGATTCTAGGTGATGACGATAAGGTTGGGACTGGACGCAGGGGCAAGGGAGACAACACGCAGGTTAAAGAAGTAGGGAAGATCAAGAAATTATGAGTCTAGGGTATCAGACAGGTCATTTACGTGGACCAGTGACTCTTCACTGGGGGCACTAGCAGCCCCCAGGGACATTTGGAAATGTGTAGAAATCTTGTTGGGATTTCTCCCCCATGCCTTTTTTACTTTTTTGGTTGTCACAATGTCATGGGGTGCTACTAGCATTTGGAGTAGAGCAAGATGATGAAGACCCTGCACAAGGAAGACCTGCCTCATCCAAAATGCCAATAGCACCCCCATTGAAAAACACTGAGAAGAGACTGAAGCTGGAAGCTAGTGTCCCCAAAGAAGGCAAAGAGCTTGGCCTGGAGGCTGGCACATCGCTGCAATGAAGGGGAAGATAACAAGAGTAGAGTATAGTTAGATGCGAGCCTAAAAGCACAGGTTGAGAACTTCAGAGCAAGGCATGAAAAATAACAGACGGGCAACGGCAGTGGAGATGTAGAAGAGTAGCAACCTTGACTCCTGGTCCCAGAATCTTTCAGGGAAGCACGTGCAGAAAGAGCAGGCAGCCACCACTCAGAGACAGATGCACGTGGAGGGAAAGCCAACTTCAGTCAAAGAGAGGTGGGGCTAGGGAGGGTGAAAAGGGTAAGAATGTGGAGAAGTTTCTCTGCAAAACAGGGAGTTTCCAAGTCCCATTAATCACAACTCAACACTGTCTCAAATCCTTCCCTTTCTGTCCCTTCCTGCTGCCCTCCACCCTCAACAGCTTTCACTTGGGTTCTCAAGAGAGCCTTATAACTTGTCTCCACACTATCAATTTCTCACCTTTCCAGCACACCTTTTACACTGTTGCCAGAAGCATCTTTCTAAAATACAAGTCTGATCATGTCATTCTCCCTGCATGAAAACCATCAATTGTTTCTATTGTTTATCTAACTAAATCCTAAATTTGCCACGGCATTCGAGGCCTTCCATCATCGGGCCCTAACTGAACTGTACCAGTCTTTTCTCCCTTTTATATTTCTCCATGTCAGACTGCTTGCTTTCCTATTCCCTTTTATTCATGTTCCCTTTATTCAGCTTCCACAATCCTTTGCTTGAACCTACCATAAACCTTATTCATTCTGCTTTATGCTCAAGTTCACTGCTTCGAGTTCATAAGTCCATCTCTTCCACGACCAGCGCTTCCTAAACTTCCCTGAAGGTAAAAATCACGTGGGATACTTGTTAAAAACACAAATTCCTGGGCCCCATCCCAGACACAACAAATCAGAATCCTTAGGGGAGAGGCCTGGGAAGCCATTATAGGATGATTTTAAAACATGTCAAAAAAAATCCTTGACATTCCTCCCACTAAAGGTAGAGTCAAGGGGCTGGCCTGGTGGCATAGTGGTTAAGTTCATGTGCTCTGCTTCAGCAGCCTGGGGTTCGCAGGTTCGGATCCCGGGTGCAGACCTACGCACTGCTTGTCAAGCCATGCTGTGGCAGGCGTCCCAAATAGAGCAGAGGAAGATGGGCACGGATGTTAGCCCAGGGCCAATCTTCCTCAGCAAAAACAGGAGGATTGGCAACAGACGTTAGCTCGGGGCTAATCTTTCTCACACACAAAAAAGGTAGAGTCAAATTCCCCTCTCTCTTAATATGAACCAGCCTTCGTGACTCACTTCTAAGGAAGAGAATGTGGCAAAAGTGATACTGTATAACTTCTGAGGCCAGGTCATAAAAGGCAACACAACCCCTGACCCTGACTCCCTTCCTCCTTTTTTCCCTCCCTCCTCCTGTCTCTGGACGCTTGCCCTTGGAACACAGCTAACCAAGCCAAGCAGCCACATGGAAAGGCCATGTGTAAGTGTTCTAACCACGGCCCCAGCTGAGATCCCAGATGATTGCCAGCATCAACCGCCTGACTTGTGAGTGAGCCTTTAGATGACTATGGCTCCAGTCTTTGAGCCACCTTGGCTGATGTTGATGCAAACCCTGCCCAAACTGGAGATGCACAAGCAAATAAATGTCATTACTTCAAGCCACTAAATTTTGGAGATTTTTTTTTTTTCATGCAGCAACAGATAACTGGAACACCACATTATTAATAGGTACTCCATGTGATTCTGAAGATGAAGGAAGTTTAGGGACTTCCTCTACTATATAAACTATACTAAACTATACTGTTAAATTCCTTGAGGTCAGGGATTAAGTCTTAATAACTTTCCAGATCTCAATCCCTTTTTTTCTCAAATATCTTTATTGATTTTCTTTTTTTGATAAGAATAATACATTTGACATAAAAATATAGCAATATAAATAATGTAAAAGGTAAAAGGGCTATGCAGTCTCACCCCACCTCCACTGCACCTTAAACAATAACCAAGGTCAAGAGTGTGGAAGGGCAGTGTTTTCCACATAGCAGGTGCTTGATGGATTTGTTCTCGAAGAAAAGGTGACTTTGTAGATTACAGAAACCTCCTATTGGTATTTAGCTGCATCCTAGATACAACTCCCAGAATCACCGTCTTCAAATCTTTACCATCTTTCTTCTCTTAAATGTATCATAGCTTTCTATTAATTAACAAACTCTATTGGTGAGGTAAACCTACCACCTGCCCTAAGCTCCTCCCCACCACAGCATCTCCATCTGAGTGAAGTCAATGTGTTTGCTGTCCCTGGTATATTATTTACATATACCATTCCTTCTCCATTTTTTGAGTGCCTACTATGTTCCAATCACTGTGCTACACATTAGGGATAAGAAATAAGCAGGAAAGGGACTCTCGCATCAAAGAACTCAGGGTCCAGAGCAGGGGTCAGCAAACTTGTTCTTAAAAGGCCACACAGTAAATATTTTAGACTTTGAGGGCCATACCGTCTCTGCTGCAACTCTGCTATTGTAGCATGAAAGCAGTGATAGACAACACACATTTGGACTTGGCTGTGTTCCAATAAACCTTTGTTCACTAAAATAAGAAGCCAGTGGGGGCCGCCCCGTGGCTTAGCAGTTAAGTGCGCAAGCTCCGCTGCTAGCAGCCCAGGTTCAGATCCCAGGCGTGCACCCACGCGCCGCTTCTATGGCCATGCTGAGGCTGCGTCCCACGTACAGCGACTGGAAGGATGTGCAGCTATGGCATACAACTATCTACTGGGGCTTTGGGGGAAAAAATAAATAAATAAAATTATAAAAAAAAAAAAGAAGACAGTGGGCTGTAGTTTGCCTATGTAGCTTGCACGTTCAACAGAACTTTGTGCAATGATGAAATATTTCTGTGATGTCCAATATGGTAGCCACTAGCTACATGTAGCTATTGGACACTTGAAATGTGACTAGTGCAACAGATGAACTGAATTTTAAATGCTGTTTAATTTTAATTAATTTAAATTTAAATAGCCACATATGTAGTGGCTACCATATTGGACAATGCAGGTACAGAGTGCACCTAACACTCCCTTCAACTAAATCAAAACTTGCCTCAAAACTCATCTCAACCAGAAAGCCTTCCTGACTAGCTTCTGCCCATGATGATCACTCTCTCACTCTTATTCTGTATTGAGTCCTAACTCCTATTCATTTTGGACTTATTGACATTTTGCCTGATAATTATGTGTTTATAATTATCTTTTGTGTTTGTAACTTTTTCCTTCCCCAACTAAGCAAAAATTCAAAGACAGAGAACATGTCTCCTGATTATTATCATCATCCTCCTTCTCCACAGTGCCTTGTATGGTGCTTCAAATCCAGAAGGTGCTCAATAAAGCCACTTTACCTGTACCTCCTTTACCAATTTCCCTGACAGGGGGTAATGTCTGCTCAAGACAGAGGGTGCTTTTGGATCAGAATCAGCACTTACTTGGAGAATCTTTCTGCAATAGCTGATGACTTATTCTTGTTGACAAGAGAAAGTTCTTTGGCCGTTACCCTCAATGATAGTGAAGTCCATTGCCGTCTATTAAATGGCGTTGATTCCATCTTGTCTCAGATACTGAAATACCTATGCAATAAAGCAAGTCAGAATATTAGACACAGAAGAGGATTCTCCAGCATCCAAGGACTGGCAGCGGTGTAGCGTAAGCAAGACAGCAGAGAGCCCTAGATCAGCAGACCACACTCTACCAGTTCTCTCAAACACTGTAACCTTGGTCAGATGATTCAATCTTTGGGTTGTAGTTTCCTGTAAAATGAGGTTAGACCAGATGATCTCTAAGGTCCCTTCCAGTTCCACCATTTTATGACTGATCCCACTGTGCAAATATCAACTGGCCTTTCCTTGAACTTAAGTCTGTTCCAAAGCCACATTTGGAGTGAAATGTTCCAGTCTTCTGAGTTACATCCCAGGGGAGGTACAATTAGCATCTCTGTAGACTCAGGGCCAAATTAGATCCTACCTACATCCAAGTTTCTTTCGGCTACCTCTCTCCCCAAGCTCTGCAACACTGACCATTTAGTGTTGGGGAGAGAGCTGAGAACACAGCATGGTATAACATAAAGGACGAGGTTAAGGCGAGATAGACTTCAGTTGAAATCATAACTTTGTTACCTGGAACAAATTATATAATATTTTCAGTTTTAGTTTATTCAGTTGAAAAAAGAGGATAATAGCTACCTTTATAGGGTTTTTGATGTGGATTTAAGGAGATAATATATTTAAAACACTAGGCGTGTTATAGTAGTATTAAGAGCATATTAAGTATAATATATTTGTCTTGGCTTTTGGTACAATTCTTATAATTTTAAAGACTTTTAACAATTGAGGGAAGCATAATGCACTTTAAATTCAGGAGATAAAACACCTATACTTAAATTCTTTTCTAAAATCCCTTCAAGTCAAAGATTGCATAAAGCCATGCCCTTACATCACCTAGTCCCTATCCATTAAACTGGATTGTGGGGTTTTGCCCCAGTAATTACCAAAGGAGTTCTAACCTTTGTCCAGAAGAGGTAAGATTAGAAATGAGTCAATATTTTCCTTATTTGAAGAATGAAAAATATAGATAAAGTACTACTTGCAGCTCTCTTGACAACCGCAGAGCATAACTGATCTGGTAGAATGTATGGTTCATCAGGTACTGCTTCCAACAACCTTGACAACAGCAGAACACACAGTGTGCTTAACCAAGCAACCTGGTCTTCCATTTCACACTAAAAGTCCTGTGATGCAAAGTAAGTGATAAGCAACCCTAAAAGACCACGCTACTTTTAACACATGTAGTACTTGTTCTTCCAACTAAAGCCTTGTCTGAAAACAATACAAGTTTAGCTGTTTTGGTTCATTTGTTTGTTTTTATCCCCAGGTTGGAAGGCAACATAGTACCCTCTAATGGTAAGGAGCTGGGAGACAGATGCATTTAAGTGGGAGTATTGGCCCCAACACTTAAAGCTGTGTTCCCTTCCCTAAAACTTAAATTTCTCAGCCATAATAATAGTACTTACTTCATAGTATCCTTATAAGTAATAAATAAGATAAAGAAGAAAAGACTCTACCATAAAATAAGTAAGCAACAAATGTTAGTTTTTTTATATTATCTCTTCTCTTTGGATAAAATAACCTTAATTCTACACATGTTCTTTGAAGTAAACTTGAATGTATCAAATAATATGATATTTATTTGTCTATCTGCTTTTCAGTTCGTAACCGACAGACCGACCAAACACTGTCAGCCTTTTCTATAAAAAGAAAAAGACACAGAAGCAACAAACAATTCAGCTAAACTTAGTTATGTAATACCACAATAATGACACTTTAAGCCATGTTTAGGAAATACTGACCAATACTTTAAGACATTATTGGTACAATTATGCTACTAACGTAGGTGTGGGTACAAATGTTGTCAGTTCTTCTACAGTGATCAATTCTGAATCAAAGAAAAAAAATACAGAAGATATGTTCTCAAATTTGTTCGTAAAAAAGGAAAAGCACTGGGGCCGGCCCCATGGCATAGTGGTTGAGTGCAGCATGCTCTGCTTCGGTGGCCCAGGGTTCACGGGTTCAGATCCTGGGCACAGGCTTGCGCCACTTGTTGGCCATGCTGTGGCGGCAACCCAAGTACAAAATAGAGGAAGACTGGCACAAATGTTGGCTCAGGGCTAATCTTCCTCACCAAAAAAAAAAAGGAAAAGCATTAATTACTTGAGGGACTGAGTGTGATGAAAAAGGAGTTTAATTCCCAAGTCTTTTTTTTTTTTTTGGTGAGGAAGATGAGCCCTGAGCTGACATCTGTCGCCAATCCTCCTCTTTTTGCTGAGGAAGACTGGCCCTGGACTAACATCTGTGCCCATCTTCCTCCACTTTATATAGGATGCCGCCACAGCATGGCTTGACAAGCGGTGCATGGGTGTGCGCCGGGGATCTGAATGCGCACTTAACCGCTACGCCACCGGGCCGGCCCTAATTCCCAAGTCTAACTCCATGGTTTTGATTACTCTTGGCCAGAAACCGAAGAAAAGAACTCTGTAATGGGTTACCCACAGTCTCTATGGTGAAACACAGAAAGTTTCTAAAAAAGCAAGTAATATAATAAGAGCCATGTTTGAAAAGATGATTCTGCATCAGTGTGTAACTTGACATGAGGGGAGAAGATTGGAGTCTAAATTACTAGTTAAGAAGATCCTAAAACTGTCTGAAAGGTAATCAAGGTTTAAATTAGAAAAGGTGGGAAGGGAAAGATGGAAAGAGATTTGACAGTTCTTAGAATACAATGGACTTAGGATAAGAGAAGGAATCAAAGCTGGCAACATCAAACTTGAATGATTAGAAAGTTGTCGATGCCATTAACAGAGAGAATAAATATAGGAAGAAGAGGGAGAACGATGAGTTTTGCTTTACATCTGATGAGAAATACACATCAGCAAGAAAAATCCTAGTGATACACAACAGGAAGCTAAAATTCAAGTCTAAGGTTCAAAATCAGACTCTTGGCAGGAAATGAACATTTTAAAACTACTTATGTGAAGCACATACCTCACTTAATCCTCACAACCACTTGACAAGATTGGCTTTATTATATTTATGATGAAGAAACTGAGATTTAGAGATATTAAATAACTTTACAATGATCATTTAGCTATAAAGTAGCTGAACTGGGATTCAAATCCATATTCTGTTTGATTCCAAAGTCAGTCTGTCACCGGTGTATGCCCTAAGTAGCTCGAAGGAAGTCTAAAGGTGCTTAACACTCCCTCAAGGTTGTTTTTCAGAGCCACGTTGGGAAGAAATACCAGAGTCAACTGGCCTGAACCAGATCGAGCCCCACTGCAAGGGCAGCACTTGTGCAGACAGCCGGAGACGACCAAAAGATGCCCTTTACTTCTTTTTAATACTAGACTCTCAGCCCCAGGAGGAGCCTGGGCTTTATTAGCATAACATGCGATGTATGTAAGAGCACGTTTTCAGACTGCACCTGCACCAGCTAATACCCGCCTCTACAAGTGATGACAAAACTTCCCTTTTAAATATTAATTCCCCACCCTAAATAAAAGACACCTGCTTCCCTTTGTTCAGGGAGCCATGACTTTGGAAATGATTCCATGTGGTCTCCTATTTGCTGCAAATAGGAGCTGTCACTCTACTTTGTGTGACAACTACCTCCAGCGGAAAGTCTGATTTTAACTAGCCAGGAAGCAAACCCACTTTGGTTTGGTAACAAGTCTTCTTTCCACTACAAGTAATGAATAATGATTAAAACCATCACTTTTAGCAAAGTAGAAAATTGGGTAGCACAATCTCTGAACCACCTAGCTGCAAACCCATACAAATTATCTTTCAGTAAGAGTGTAGTGGCAAGTATCTTCCCAGAATGGTGAGCATCAGAGATAATCATTCGTTCCTTCAAAGAAACTTAATGTGACCTTGGGCCCTCATGAAATACTCTCCATTGTGAATATCTTGGCTTTCACGGGCTTGCATTAGGGGTGTGATATTCCCCCCACTTACCCGCTCTCTCTCAAATGAGAGTACCATTCTCAGACTTTAGAACAATTCTTTAATCCTAGAAATCCTGTTAAGAGTGAAAAGCGCATGTACCAATACCTGGAAAGACCCATCCAGGAGGAGGTATTCAGTCTGGGCTAAAATATCCTTGAATATTTTTTCCAGAGGCCCAGTGGACTTTAAGATCCAATCCATTGCATTGCCATATACAAACAATAACAGCCGCTGTCACTTATTGGGCACTTATTAACTTATTTACAACAACCTTGGAGACAGACTAGAGTTATTTCCATTAAAAAAATTGTGGTTCATTGAGGTCGAGTAATTTGCCCGAGGTCACACTGCTAATATATGGCCCATGCAGAATCCAGTGTTCAGACTCCAAAACCCAACCTCTTCAGTCACACGCATTCTGCTACTACTTCCACTGTGAGGAAAGAAAGAACTACTGGATTGGTTGACAGTTGTATGCAAGAGTTAAAGGAAACGGATATAACAAAAATACCTCTAAGATTTTGAGCCTCAGAGACTGGAAGGACAGTGGTATAGCAAATAGTAATAGGATACATAGAAAGGGGAAGTATTTGCTAAGAAGAAAGATGTCTTCAGTTTTAGATACATATGGCAAATTTTTATATCGAAAGAGAAGCTTAGAAATTAAGCAATCAAATCCCCTTTTTTACAGTAAGGGAATGGAGCCACGTAAAGTTCCAATAATTTTCCCAAACTCACCAGCTAGTTAGTATGAGAGCCAGACTTCTAATTCCCTGTTCAAAGTTCTTTTTATCACACCAGGTAGCTTGAAGTGGGACAGCTAAATATCCTTATGGGTAAACTGTAGCCTGGAGATTAAGATCTCTTGAACAAAGGTCCTTGAAAGTTTAAGGGTTGGGCAATGACTCACTGGGAAACTTGGCCCCAGGTATCTACTTCCTCAAGCTATTGCTTAGGGTGAGGCCTGTAGCTGCTCCAGGAAAACTACTCTAATAAATTCATTTACAGACTTACCCAACCAAGTGAACTGTCTCCCAGAAACTAGGCTGGGTCAAAAGCAAATGAGCTGC